TCTAAAAACTGTAATCCATTGACCTTTTTGGTTACTTTCAGGACCTATTTTAAAGATGTCTCCATAGTTGGTTGCTTTTAACTATTTCAGAAGTATCCGTGCGTTTTAGGTCTAAAGTAGATAAGCTGAGATACTTGTTTACAGTGAAAACAATTTTCCATAACTTTGTCCACTCACTAAATCTATCAACAACTCTTTGTAATTTTATGCTTCTTTGCACAATCCCACCTGTCAGAATCATAGAGTTATACAGCATGGAAATTGACCCTTCAATCTAGCCTGTCCGCACAACCAGCTATCCTAAACTAATCTAGTGCCATTTGCCAGCATTTGGCCCATACTCCTTTAAACCCCTATTACTAATCTATCCACCCAGATGCCTTTTAATTGTTGTAATTGTACCCACCTCGACTACTTCCACTTGCAGCTTGTTCCACACACACACCACCCTCTGTGTGAAAATGTTGTCCCTCAGGTCTCTTTCCCCTCTCACCTTAAACCTATGTCTGTGTGGAGTTTGCACATTCCCTCAGTGTCTGCGTGGGCTTCTTCTGTTTTCTCCCACAGTCCAAAAATGTGCAGGTTAGGTGAATCAGTCATGCTAAATTGCCCATAGTGTCCAGCAACGTGCAGGCTATGTGGATTAGGCACAGGAAATGCAGGGTTACAGGGATAGTGTCAGTGGGCGAGTCTGGCTCTTCGGAGGGTCAGTGTGTACTTGATGGGATGAATGGCTTGATTCCACAATGTAGGGATTCTATGATTCTATGAAAATGCCATTAGCAAATGAACCAATAAAACAGTAATGTGCTATAAAGATAAGATGCTATCTTTGATGCAGTAACATGAGTAAATTTTTAACAGGGCCTAACCTTGATAATAATTAGAAATGCAGTGGGTTGAATAGTTCTAAAATCCAAGCTGCATATCAAGCGAGACTTGTTGTGAAAATGAGATGGGAGGTCAGAGAAGTTCCTGAGGTTTATAACTGAAACCTGTGATCCACATCAGCAATTGTTGTTTTGATTTTAATTCACTCATGGGACATGGGCGTTGATGGCTCAGCCAGCATTTATTGCCAATCCCTGGTTGTCTTTGAGATGGTGGTGGTGAGCTGTCTTCCTGAATCACTACAGTCAAGTGCTGTAGGTAAACACACAATGTTGCTGTTACCATTTCCAGTGCTTAGGTTGCTCCAGGTGGTCTGTCCAGTTTAATTTCATTTTTTAGACAATGCAGCAATGGTTACAACTAAGTGGCTTGCTAGACCATTTCAGATGGCATTTAAGAGTCAACTTCATTGCTGTGGCTCTGGAGTCACATGTAGACCAGACCAGGTAAGAATGGCAGATTTTCTTCCCTGAAGGACAGGAGTGAACCAGATGGGTTTTTCCCCAGCAATCAACATTGTCATCATTACACTTAATTCCAGACAGTTATTGAGTTCAAATTGCAACATCTTCCATGGTAGGATTTGAGCCCAGGTCCCCAGAACATTACCTGTGCCTCTGGATTTGTAGTCTAACGATAGTGCTGCTGTCTGAGAAAGGATAATAAATGTAACAGAAGTGACTGGCTCAATCTAGAAAGGTTGGGAGGAAACAGGATGTCCTCACAAAATGTTAGGGATGACAAAAGGCAACTAAGGTGAAGATGTCTCAGCATGCTGGAAAAGCAGGAATGCTACAATTTGGGCCAGTGTGGACAAAACTGATTTGTCATCTCAAGTCCAATGACCAACTCATTTGGACATCAAAAAGGAAGACAGGAGAACAGCATGAGGATAAATCTCGGCCTGTGTGATTGGTGGATATAATACTGGCTGGAGCGTTACCCTCCACTCATTGAAGAAGCTGAAAGAGGCAAGGATAGCAGCCTGTCATATGCGCAGCATGGCGGCTATATGGGCAGGTTTGATTCTACCCTCAGGTGACTATCTGTATGGAGTTTGCACATTCTCCCTGTGTTTGTGTGGGTATCCTCTGGGTGCTCCGGTTTCCCCCCACAGTAAAAAGATGCGCAGGTTAGATTGGCTATGCTAAACTGTCCAGGGATGTGCAGACTAAGTGGATTAGCCATGGGAAATGTAGGATTACAGGCATAGGGTAGGTAGGGTAGGTCTGGGTGGGATGCTCTTCAGAGGGTTGGTATGGACTCAATGGGCCAAATGGCCTGCTCCACATTCTATGAGTTTTGGACTCACAAAACTGAGGAAAATGACCTTGGCTATTCACCCTCTACATTCCTCTCATGATTTGATAAACCTCTAGAAGGTCACCCCTCAGAAAGGCCCCAACTTATTCAACTTCTCCTATAGCTCAAACCCTCGAATCCAGGCAACATCCCTGCAAATCTTCTCTGAACACTTTCAAGTTTAAGAACATCCTTCCTCAAAGTTTTTGTGCAGATTTGTAGCTCGAGTTGTGGATGAGGTTGTAGTCTTGCTCACCAAACTGGTGCGTTTGATTGCAAACATTTGTCACACTGCTAGGTAACATTATCAGTGTGCCTCTAATGAAGTGTTGGTGTTCTGTCCCACTTGTTATACTTAGGTTTGCTGGGGTGGTTGGCGTCACTTATGGTTCTGTTTTTCAGTGGTTTGTATATTGGGTCCAGTTTAATGACCATCAACACACACATCGAACTGGACCCGATATACAAATCGCTGAAAGTCAGAATCAAAAGTGAGGCTAACCAACCCAGCAAACTGAGGCATATAAATAACAAGCGGGACAGAACACCAATCCTTCACCAGGGGTACACTGACGATGTTACCTAGCAGGGTGATGAAACATCTGCAATCAAACACACCGGCTTGGTGAGCAAGTCTACAACATTTTCCTATAGCAAGGAGACCAGAAGGTGTATGCAGTATTATAAAATTGGCCTCATTGATGTCCTGTACAGCTGCAGCATGACATTCCAACTCCTATACTCAATGCACTGACCAATGAAGGCAATGAATGCCACCACACTGCCCATCTGTGACTCCACTTTTAAGGAACGATGCACCTGCATCCCTAGGTCTTTTTGTTCGGCAACACTCCCAAAGCCTTATCATTAACAATATAAGTCCTGCCCTGGTTTGTCTTACCAAAATGCCTCCATTTTTCTAAATTAAACCCTACCTGTCACACCTCAACCCACTGACCCATCTGATTAAGTTCTTGTTGTACTCAAGAGGTAACCTTCTTCACTGTACACTACACCACCAACTTCGGTGTCATCCACAAGCTTACTTGCCATTCCTCTAACGTAAATGATTTGGATGGGACTATAGATGACGAAAAGCAGTGGACCCAGCAGCAATCCTTGCAGCACACCGCTGGTCACTGGCTCCAGTCTGAAAAGCAACCCTTTACTACCACCTCCATCTCCTACCCTCAAGCCAATTTTACATCCAATTGGCTAGCTCCCTTGGATTGCACGTAATCTAACCTTGCTAACAAGTCTACCATGCAGAACCTTGTCGAACGCCTTGCCGAAGTTCATATAGACAACATCTACTGCTCTGCCTTCATCAATCTTCTTTGTCACCCTTTCAAGAAACTCAAAGCAAGTTAGTGAGACATGATTTATCGTGCACAAAGCCACACCAACTATCCCTAATCAGTCCTTGCCTTTCCAAATGCATGAAAATTCTGTCCCTCAGAATCCCCTCCAACAACTTACTCACCACTGATGTCAGGCTCACTGGTCTATAGTTTCCTGGCTTTTCCTTATCAACTTAAATAATGGTACCACACTAGCTACCCTCTATCTCTTCCCTAGCTTCCCACAAAGTTCTGGGATACACCCGCTCAGGTCCCAGGGATTTATCTACTCCAGCACCTTCTCTTCTATAATGTGAACACTTTTCCAAGACATCACTATTTCCCCAAGTTCTCTAGATTCAATGTCCTTCTCCAAAGACTTTAAATACTGATGCAAAATATTTGTTTAGTGTCTCACACGTCTCCTGTGGATCCACACAGACAGCCTTGTTACTCATTTGTCCTTAATGTATTTGTAGAATCTCTTTGGATTCTCCTGAATACTATTTGCTAAAGTTACCTCATGTCCCCTTTAGGTCCTCCAGACTCCCTTCTTAAGTATACGCCTACTGCCCTTATATTCCTCTAGGGATTCACTTGATCCCAGCTGTCTAAATCTGACACATGCCTCTTCCCTTTCTTGACCAGAGCCTCAATTTTTCTAGTTATCCAGCATTCCCTACACTTACTAGCCTTCCCCTTTGCACCATTAGGAACACACTGTCTCTGTATTCCCGTTATCTCAACTCTGAAGCCTCCCACTTTCCAAACATCCCTTTACCTGTGAATAGCCTCCCCAGTCAACTTCGAAAAGTTGAAACCTGTCCTTCTTATACAGA